AGGGGGGGGAGGACAAATCTATATTGCACCCCATTGAGGCAGGGTAACTAGCATAGCTTAGAGATAGAGGAGTTTCTTGCAGGCAGGCATAGCTTAGATAATTAAAAAAACCAGGTGGTCAGGTGTATCTTATCAGGACATAACTCTCTAGAACTGGAGGCACTGGGGGATGGTGTCTTCAGGAAGAAAATTAGTCAGCAAAATAATGACTTTTATCATCATCTTGAGATTTTCACTGGTTGTAAATTAGTTCAGAAGTAGATGATAAGAAGAGGAACTTTGGGCCCCCTCCCACTGTGGGAGCTTTTCTGTCCTCTCAATAAATCCTGCTTTCTCAAACAAAAACAAAAAACAGGAACTTGTGAGCAATAGACTGTAAACCACTATGTAGCACACAAATCTTAATTTAAGAAATGGGCTGCTTAATCATCACTAAATACACACACACACACACACACACGCTGCTTAATCATCACTAAATACACACATACACACACTCACACACACACTTGCTCTTGCTCTGACAAGAAAGGAAAGAAGGGAGGGAGGGAGGGAGGAAAACAAGTAAGAAAGAGGTCAGGCAACCCCTCTGGGTCTCCTCCCACTGTGGGAGCTTTTCTGTTCTTTCAATAAATCCTGCTTAAAAAAAAAAAAAGGAAAAGAAAGAGGCCAACATCATTCAGGTAAAAAACGCAGGCACCAGCACTACCCCACTGGCTCTTTGATAGCAGCATAAAGAGCTGAAAGAAGTAGGGATGGAGGGGAGGAATGTGACCAAGGGAAAGGAAAAGAGAAAAAAATGGAGGGAAGGGGGATGAAAAGCAGAATGAAGAGTGAGAAGAGGATGTGGGGAGGTGGCCACATTGCTAAAAACTTATGCATGGAAGCCAAGACCACTGAGTTCTGAAAAGATGCCTTGCAATCCGAGACTTACCCTTTCACATCTATACAGAGTTTGAATGCATGTGTTTAGGAAAGACTTTATAGAAGTAAACATGTTCTCTTAGCATTTTTTTTCCTCATAAAATATATTGTCGGCTGGGCGCAGTGGCTCAAGCCTGTAATCCCAGCACTTTGGGAGGCCGAGATGAGGGGATTGCCTGAGCCCACGGGTTTGAGAACAGGCTGGGCAACTTGGTGAGACCTCATCTCTACAATAATAAAAAAAAATTAGCCGAGCATGGTAGCACATGCCTGCAGTTCTGTCTACTTGGAAGTCTGAGGTGGAAGGATCACCGGAGCCCAGCAGGTCAATGCTGGGGTGGCCGTGAGTGTGCCACTGAACTCCAGTCTGGGTGACAGAGTGAGACTCCAACTTAAAAAAAAAAAAAATCTATATAGATATATTTTCTCTTTTCCTTTCCCTTGGTCACATTCCTCCCCTTCATCTGCCCCCTCCCCCTCCTCCCGAGAGACAGTCAGTGACCAGAGGCCAATAGTGCATGTGGCCGGGCATTTGTGCATACACAACAGGTACCCTGGTATTCCTCGGGTCTGGCGGTGCCAGGTAGCTGCAACCCACAGTGAAGCCCTCTAGGAGGAGAGCCATGTAGACTGTGAAGTCAGAGAAATGAGACTTGTGGCCCAAAAGGACAGGATATTAGGACCAGCCTTTGCTCTGAGAAGCTTCCCCCAGGAAGAAGCCAAGAGAACTTCCAAGTGAGGTAGCAAAAGGACAAGTACCACCTGCCTGCTGCTGTGGCTTCGTTTGCCTCTGCAGGGAATCTTCCAAGAAAGTGCTGTGATAGGACACATCTAGGCAGCCAACACCTTATTTGAAAATCTAATTTTTTCTACACAAAACCTGAAATTCTGACAGGTGCTCATTAGGTTAAATCAAACTTTGTTTCTGCAACTGAAAACCAGAAGTTTTCATCAGCCCGTGTTCAGAGACTGTGGGAAGTGGAGACCCATGCACGGTCCCCATGGCCTGATGACTGTGGTTCAGAACAGCAGCCATGAGTGAGAACCAGAGATGTAGGGGAGATGGATGTGTGGCCTGTGGGCCCATCACAGATGAGAGGTGACCTAACACAGCAGTCAGAATACAGAGAGGCATTAATTTAGAGGTTTGTTCCCAAGTCAAAAGGCTGACCAACTGGGGACTCCTGTCATGCACTGGCCCTTGGGGGATGTGGCAGACCGCTTGCAAAAATTATTTCCCTGACTATATCCATGTTTCTCTCCAATGTCACATTTTAAACCCTCCCATCAGGAAGTAGGGTCTATTTCCCCACCCTTTGAAATGGGGCTTAGTCATATGACTTCCTCTGACCAATAGAATGTGGCAGAAATGACTTTATGCCAGAAAGGCTGAGGCCTCAAGAGGAAGTGTATGGTTCTGTTTGCTTTCTTGGAATCTGCTTCATGGTCATGTGGAAGCCTGCTGGAGAATGGGAGACATGGGACTCAGTTTCCCTCACTGCCCTCGCTAACTGCCAGACAACTATCAGAAGCAGAGTTGCCTATCTGGCCATCAGATGAGCACAGTCACATGAAGAAGTCTAGACAAAGACCAGAAGAACCTCCCAGCTGAACCCAGCCTGGACTGTTGACCCATGGAATTATCAGCTAAACAAATGGCTGTTTTAAACCACCATGTCATGGGTGTTATATAGCATCACTTGTAGTAACAGCAAAGCAATACAAGGGGTGGGGAGTGATTCACTTTTCTGAGGAAAGGCCCATCTGGGGTCACTAGGGGTGGGAGTGGGGGAACACAGTTTTCAGAAACAAGCATTTCCTTCTTTCAAATTAAAAAAAACAAGCAAAGAAAAAAAATAACCCAGATTCACATATTTCTCTGTTTATATATTTTTCTCTCTTTATAGACACAACTCTTCAGTAAACATTTACAAGATATGTGGGCCACACTGAAAAAACAGAGTGCACTCACAGACAGAATGACTCCCACACATTCACTTCCAGGACACAGAGATTCACACAATGTACAGAGATCTGTATAAGCACAATAAACCAAATAAATAGGAGTTATTCCAAATCACAACCACAGATACTCTCTGGAACACCATGAGAGAAGGCAGAAAAGGGATCTTGTGCTGTACTTTGAGACTAGTCTGTTAAAAAAATAAATAAGAATCAGAAGGTCTGGGACCTGGGTCTTGCTAAAATAACATCCTCTGTAGGGAACATCTGAGTGGCAAAATAAAGTTTTATCTGGAGGGGGACACATTTATTCCCATCTTGGGAAGCTGGGGGACCAGAGTGGAGAAACAAAACTCTAAGGGCAATCAGGACACTGCTGTCTCCCTTCCTGCTTTGGTGGGTGGGGAATGAGCTGGGACCAGTGAAGGCTACTGTAGCTTTGGGTCTCCCAGGAGCTCTCTTCAGGAGGCAAGGCCCGAGGAGGTCTCTGTCCATCCTGTACCACTCAGGGGGATGTTGGGGGTTTCGATGCAGTTAAAGTTGCTGCTGCCGAGGGAAAGAAGCCTTCACAAGCATGCAGGACAAAGATCTCCGATCCTGGTAGCTAGTGAAGGTGGGGAGATGAATGAGACCCTCTGCAAATGCTTCAATATGCAGCTTTACTTGGCCCCCCCCTCCCCAAAATCCTAGCTGTCATTCTTTGACCACCTGAGAGCTGGCAGGTGTCCTGGGAAGAGCCTTCTTTCCTGATGCTCACTGTTTCCCCTCCTCCTGATGTACTCTCAGGATAGAAGGGTTGGCAAGACTGTGCTATTTAAAGGACAGGTAGGCAGAGTAAACGGCTCATTTTGGGTCTGTGGATTGGTGGCCCTCTGCGTGAGACGTGGAGGGGAGCATTCCTGGACCCAGCCACAGCTCTGGCCCTGGTTCATCAGATGCTTCCCTTTGCCTTCCTGTTCCTTCTTTGACCTGAGTGAACAGGGTGCTTAGAGAAAAGCCAGCCTCCCTCATCAAGTGGCTGTCACCAAACGTGCATCTTTCCAAGACCCAATTTGTGGGAAGGAAGGCATGGTCTTCCCTCGGATGAGGGCAGCAGAATGTGGACCCTGCCCCAGACGGGGGGCTCTGAGCAGGACCCTGATGAGCCTCAGACTATGTCATTGCTACAGACACCTTTTGGGTTCCATCACCCGAGATGCTTTTCTTGAAAAGAAGAAAAGAAGTATCTCTTAGCATCAGACAGAGGAGAAAATACAACAAATAAAATCCCGGACTTCAAGAGAGATGTGCACAGGACTCCTGAGTGCCTTTTCTAGATGGGGGGAGGTCTAGGGACACAGGGTGGCTTAGTATAGACAGTGGGTCAGGCGGTGCATTTGAAGTCCCTCCTTTAAGCTAGTAGTTCTCAAATGTGGGCAGTTTTGCCCCGCAGGGGACATCTGGCAATGTCTGGAGACATTCTGTTGGGTTGTCACAACTGAGGGTGGAGGATGATGCTCCTGTCATCTACTGAGTAGACACCAGGATGTTCCTCAACATCCTACAATGCACAGAACAGTCCCCTTCACAAGAATAGCCTGGCCCCAAATGTCAGTAGCGCTGAGGGGAGAGATGCTGCTGAGTCTATCTTCCAGCCATGTTCTGGAATATATCCAAAGGCCCTTTTCAGAGTATAGGGGTAGCGCCACACACCTAGACCAGTTTCCCAAAAAAATTCCTTCCCCAAGTCTCATCTGACAAGACAGTTTGGAGGGATAGGGAAAGAAGGGGAGACCATTCTGGAAACTAGGAATTATATGTTTCCTTCATCCACCACCAACCTCCAACTCCTGCCAGGGAGAAATGCCAGACTTGGGCAATCTTTGGTCAAATAGGAAAATGTAAGGCTGAGCTGAAGGGGCACCCCCTCCACTCTACCCACTCAGTGGCCAAAGCCAAGGCAGTTTCTCTTCACACAGAAGTCATGCTCGTAAACAGACGTCTGGACCCTGTTCCTGGCGTGGCCCTCCGTCCAGGAGGAAAAGTGGACAGAGGAGCAAGGAGGGGGCAGCTCTGCTGAGGCCACCTGGGTGAAGCACCCCTCACTTGTTCTCAATTAGCGTCTGCACCTTGTACACGAGGTCCCGGGCCAGCTTCAGGACTTGCTTGGCGTTGTGTCTCTCGGCCATTTCTGGAAGAGCAGAAGGCAAAATCTCATGAGCCTCCTGCGTCCAGCCTAGGGATACACTTCCAGCCCCTGGAAGGTTCTCTGGGGTATCTCCATCACAGAGTGGCTCTGGAAGTAGAGACCTTGGGGAAGGCCCGCACCTTCATACCTTGGTTTCTTTATCTGTAAAATGGGGATTGTAACAGTAGCCACATCACAGGGTTACTGTGGGGATCAAATGGGATAATGTTGATTCACAGTGTGTGTCCTAAAAACACGGGGTATTTCTGTCCCCTTCCTACAGACAGAAGGAAAGATGGAGAGGGGAGGGAAGAACAGAAAAGCAAAAAAAAATTTGTCAAGAGCCATACAAAATGATCAAACCCTTAAGTCAGAGATTTAATACTAAATTTAGACACTTATCATAAAGAAGCCATTTAGTAGAATAAAAACATATGGTCGGGCATGGTGTCTCATGCTTATAATCCCAGCACTTTGGGAGGCCGAGGTGAGAGGATTGCTTGAGCCCACAGGTTTGAGACCAGCCTGGGCAGTTTGAGGGGGCCTTATCTCTACAATAAATCAAAAAATTAGCCAGGTGTGGTAGCGCGTGCCTATCGTTTCAACTACTTGGAAGGTTTTATATCTTTGCAAAGCTGGGTTTTCAGCAATTTCTGTAATAAAAAAGAACCATGTGAAAATTAGTATGATACAAATTGAAGATGGTGGGATCCAATCTGATTCTAAGGCTTGAGAAGTTGTGCAAAGTTCTACAGGTGCCCATTAGTAAGTGAATGTACGTATTTAAGAATGAAATAAAGATACTATGTTCTTTCTATTGATGTGCATTATTTTTTCAAATAGCTATTAAGATGCTGGGACATCTCTTTATGAAGTGGTTTGGACTTAACTACTTACTGAAAGGAAATTTTGGCCTGGGGCACTGTGGAAATTGTTTAGAGACACTAGGGGTTCCAGGAACTGAGAAAGTTTGGGAACTACGACACTAAGGTATAAATCACTTTGGGTGCTCACTCACACCTTCATACTAAAAACCACCTCAGTGCTAATGATGAGGGATGGGTCAGGAAGTTATGGGACAGTCACTTGAGTATATTCTGTTGTCTTACAAATGATCACAGGGAAGATAATTTTTGAACCAGTAAGTGAAAAAAACAAACAAACTAAATACAACAGGATATGTGATGGTAAAGCAAAACAAAAAACTATACATGACTATGGTTTCCTGGATTGCATCCTGAAGCACAGAAAGGACATTAGTGAAAAATCAAGTGAAATCCAAATAAATTTTGTAGTAATGTTCCAATAATTTCTTAGTTTTGACAAATGTACCAGCATCATCATGTAAAATGCTAATAGTAGGCAAAGCTAGGCCAAGGGTATCATGGGCTCTCTCTGCTATCTGAAATCTAAAGCCGTTCTAAATCTAAAATTTTAGTAGATATATAAAGTCCAAAAGTATTCCAGAATAAAAAGTTTACTTAAAATAAGAATCCTAATATTTCAAAAGTGAGGCCACAGTGGCTTTTTTCTTTTTTCCCCCAGAACCTTTAGCTTTTTATTTTTAAATAGTGAGCGCAGTGGCAATGGTTTGGCTTTCTTGGGTTCCTCCTGTGAATCAGGTACCATGTGATGGGACGTATCCATATTGTCTCATGTAATCCTTCAGGCCTCCCTGGAAGGGGGGTGGTATTAGTGCCATTTTAACCCTAAAGTCACTTGGACAAGGACACATAGCTCCAGAGTGGCAAAGCCGGGATCCAAGTCCACATTTGTCTGGTTTCAAAGGCTGTACCTTTTTCATGTTCCTTCAATTGCTTTCTTGTGCCTGCTTTTCCTACGTGCTCCAACCCTCTGAAGCAGACACTGTTCCCCTTGCTTCACAGATGAGGAAGTGGATGTTTAGAGAGAGGGGAAGTGATTTGTCCACGGGCACAGCTGGTCTAGTGGCAGAGTTGGGCTTTGTCCCTGAGCAGATCTCAGCACCCTCAGCCAGATCCCTAAGTAAAACGCGTCCTCAGTATCAAATGTTGTCAACTCATCCCTTTGGAAATAGCCAAAGAAGCAGGCAGAACTCCCCATCCCCTTCCCGTGCAACAATCTCAGAGAATCTCCATCCCTCCCAGAGCCCAGCCCCCTCAGATGAGGTACCATTGAAGAACTTGATGATGTCTGTGAAATCCATGTTGTTCTCCAAAATGATGTCTCGGTAGACTTCCACCAGAGCCAGAGCGATGAACAGGACATAGTGGGCGGATGAGACATGCTTGGCAGCCCAGATGGTCTCCCAGACTGAGAAGACATCATCGTAGACGAGTTCTATCAGGACATGCACACACATGGAGAGGAAGTCAGCGACAGGGCTCAGGATGCCGCCCTCCCTTGTGAAAACCCCTCTGGGAAAATCTCAGGTCAGTTGTGCTTTGTGTCTCTGCCCTGGTACAGCAGACAGAGCTCAGGCTGGAAGGCAGGAGACCTGGATTCTGTCATTTGACCACTAGATGCTTCAGTTTTCCCCATCCATAGAATAGGCTATGTAACCAGGTGAGTTCTAAGTTCCTTCCAGCTTGGACATTCTGTGACTGGAAGAATTGGGCATGAGAGGGTTTGATATACAGATTTGTTCCCTGCCCTGCCCTTTGACAAGCACCCCTCTGTATTCCTGCACCCTTCATCTCTATAAGCACCTATGGTGGAATCTTCCCTCTCCCCTTCCCTACCACTACAGGCAGAGCTGGCTGCAGCCTCTGAGTCCACTAAAGAGACAGAATCGAGCAGTGGTGGCTAAAAGCAGGGCTTCCTATGTCCAGGGAACTCTGTGTGAATCCTCCCCCAAGCCCCTGCTAGCAAGGGGACCTTGAGCTGGAAATCCTTCTTCCATCGAGCTTCTCTTTTTCCTCATCTGTAAAAGTTAGTTAAAGCTGACAGTGGAAAAGGACTGAGGAGATAACACAAATAATGGCTCCGCAAGGTGTGTGGTACTTAATAAATACCTCCATGCAGCTTAGATCTTTTTTTTTTTTTGAGTTGGAGTCTCATTCCATCGCCCAGGCTGGAGTGCAGTAGCACACTCACGGCCACCGCAGCCTCGACCTGCTGGCCTCAGGTGATTCTTCAGCCTCAGCCTTCCAAGTAGCCGGAACTACAGGTACACGCTACCACGCCTGGCTAATTTTTGATTTATTGTAGAGACGAGGTCTCGCCAAGTTGCCCAGGCTGGACTTGAACCCACAGGCTCAGGCAATCCACTCGCCTCAGCCTTCCAAAGTGCTGAAATTACAGGCTGAGACACCAACCCAGCTCAGCTTAGATCTTTTTACTGGTAGCATCAGCCCACAACTACACACTAGCAGCGATATACTGAGTTATACATCACCCCTAAATCATGCCTGAAATGTGCATGAAATTACATCTGCTCCATGGGTTTTAGAGTTCTTGGTCTCTGATAAGCAGCATAAGAGAGTGGAAGGACTCTTGGGGTAGATGGAGGTGGCTTCAGTGTCTCTACTAGTCCTAACTCTGAATTTAATTCTCAGCCTTGGTTTCCTCATCCGTAGAATGGAGATCTTCACAGAGCCCAGTGTGTAGCTCCATTGCAAGAGAAGGCAGGTGAGCCCATAGTCGAATTCTGTAAATGTTACTCTCCTTGCTGTCTTTGCCCCAGTACCCCTCAGCTTCACCTTCACGGTTATCTGTTCCCGTGAAGTTCTGCTGTGAAGATAATGGAAATAAGTCCTGTGTTTAAAGTCTGTACCTCGCTTGAAATCCAGCAGGAACCAGCGGTAGCAGAAGTAGAAGTGAGTGTAGTCTCCGTTCTGATGCATCAGCTCAAACAGCTCTGAGTCCAGGATCTGTCAAAGAAAGGAAAGGTCACATCAGCCTCCAAGGAAAAGGCTGGAGCATAGGGGACAGCTGAGTAAATGGTGGTCCAGCCACACACCAGACACCATATAGCTCCTAACAGTCAGGCACAGTTTAAAAATGGGCAAGGGATCTGAATAGACGTTTCTCCAGAGATTTACAGATGGCTAGCATGAAAGATACTCAACACCATTAGTCATTAGGGAAATGCAAATCAAAACCACAGTGAGATGCCATTTCACACTTACTAGGATAGTTAAAATAAAAATGGCAGCCCAGGCTTGGTGGCTCAGCCTGTCATCCTAGCACTTTGGGAAGCCGAGGCAAGTAGATTGCCTGAGCCTGTGAGTTTGAGACCAGCCTGGGCAACTTGGCGATACCTTGTCTCTCCAATAAATAAAAAATTAGCTGGACATGGTAGTGCACACCTGTAGTTCTGGCTACTTGGAAGACTGAGGCGAAAGGACTGTTGGAGCCCAGCAGGTTGACACTGGGGTGGCCTGGGATGATGGAGTGAGACTCCAACTCAAAAAATAATAATAATAAAAAGGCAGACAATACCAAGTGTTGTCGAGGATGTGGAGACATAGGAACCACCACATATTGCTCCTGGATGTGCACAGGGGGTACTCCCGCTGTGGAAAACAATCTGACAGTTCCTTAAAAAAGTCAAACACAGAATTTCCAATGACTTAGCAATTCCACACCTAGGTATATCCTCAAGAGAAATGAAAACACATATTCACATAAAAATCTGTATGTGAATGAATGTGCGTAGTAGCATTATTCATAACAGTCAACCGGAAACAGCTCAAACGTCCATCAACAGATAAACAAAAAGTGGCATATCAGTACAATTTAATTTAATGTTATCTGGTAATAAAAAGGAACAAAGTTCTGATATGTGTTACCATGTGGATGAACCTTGAGAACACTGTGCTAAGTGAAAGAAGCCAGTTACAAAAGGCCACATAGTGTATGATTCCATGTATATGGGATGTTGAGAAAAGGCAAATCCACAGTGACAGAGAGTAGATACCGGTTTCCAGAGGCTGGGGAAAGGGAGAGAATGGGGAGTGATCATTCATGGGTAAAGTCTTTCTTTTGGGGTAATGAAAATATTCTAAAATTGGTGTTGTATAACCCTGTGAATGTATTAAAAGCCACTGAATTGTACACTTTACAAGGCTGAATTTTTTTTGTATCTAAATTATATCTCAGCAAAACTATTTTAGAGGAAGAAGGTGATGGAATAATACCTCTAGCTGTCGGATATGCTGTTAAATGGGGGGAAAAGCAGGTTTGAAACAGTAGGTATAAAAAGAAAGAAAAATTATGTACAGTATGATCCTAATTATGGAAAAAATGTATATACAGAATGGGCAAAGCATATGAACAGGCATGTCATAGAAAGAATAATCCAGATGAACTAAAAACACACAGAGAAAAGATACTCAATCTCACTGTCAACAAGAAAATACAAATAAAATCACACTGGGATGCTCTAATCACACCCAAGAGACTGGCAAAAATTAGGAAGCATGACAACATCAAAACACTCTCAGCACTGCTCTCGGGCATAGGAATTGGTACCCTTACTTAGGAGAGTGATTCTGCCATGGCTGATAAAGTTGAAGGTGCGCATACCCTCTGACCCAGCAATTTCACTCCAGACAAGTGCCCAGGCAAAGCTCTTGAGTGCATGCAAGAGGAGTGGCACACAAGAATCTCAGTACAGCGCTCTCTGTAACACTCCCCCCACCCCCGCAAAAAACACCAAATTCCCTAAAGCAAAAGCAAACAAAAGCAAGTAGAAACAACCTAAATGTCCACCAGCAGGAAAATGGATACAAATTAAATGCGACATAAAGAACTCTACTCTAAGGTGGAAGGCTGTACTTCAGGGAAAAAGGAATGTGCCACACTGTTGTCGAGGACTCTCTAACTTGTCACTGAATGTAAAGTCAGACTGTAGAGGAATCCATACCGTTTAGACAATTTATGAAAAGTGGGGAGACAAGAAACAAAATGACATGTTGTTTAGACATATATGCATGTCATAGAAGAATTTTAAAAAACATTATAAACATCAGATTCTGCAAAGTGCTTACCACTGTGAGGATAGGAGTGGAGAAATGTCATCAAGAGGGGACCCAGGAAGGCCGAAAAATCTATGGTTAATGTTTTATTTCTTGGGCAGGTTGGGTGGAAACATGGGTATTTAATAAATTGTTCTTTCTACCTTTCTTTTCTATTTTTTTAACCTTTTTATATTTTTGTAAAGATGGGTCTCACTATGTTACACAAGCTGGTCTTGAACTCCTGGTCTCAAGTGGTCCTCTCACCTCAGTCTCCCAAAGTATTGGGATTACAGGTGTGTGCCATCAAGCTGAGCCCAAATTACTCAATCTTCAGCCACCAAGCCATACTTACTGTTTCCCAAAAAAAGTCCAAAGCAAGATGAGATGCTGAGTCATACCTGGATCAGTGACCTCATGTTTGCAAAGTGTGTGTCCATGGCACCTCCATGGGGGAAGTTCTGGTTCATCCTCTTCATGAGCTCCGTGAAGCAACTGAAGGCAAGGGCCTCTGAGGGGAAGCAGCACAAGAGAAAGTCAGCTGTACCACTGCCAAAGGCACATGCGTTCCCAAAGTGATGCTCTAAGGCTAGAGCTGGTTCGCCAAGTCCACAGCCAGGTGAGAAGCACGTGGACCAGGTAGGGCATGCTCTCCAATCTCCATCACATACTTCTCATCTTTGGGTACGGAAACATCTTCTAGGAAATGATGGTAATAGCAGATGATCCTTTATTATTTATTTATTTGTTTATTTTTTTGAGACAGGATCTGGCTCTGTCACCCATGCTGGAGTGCAATGGCTGACTGCAACCTCATAGCTGACTGCAACCTCAAACTCCTGGGCTCAAGTGATTCTCCTAAAAGCGTGTGCTACCACGTTTTCTGTTTGTTTTTTGTTATTGTTGCTTGTTTTGTAGAGATAGGTCTTGTTATGTTTCCCAGGCTGATCCTGAACTCCTGGGCTCAAGTGATCCTCCCACCTTGGCACCCCAAATTGCTGGGATTACTGGTATGTGCCAACCACACCCAGCTAGATGCTCTTTTTAAAAAGATACCTGTTTGCTACAATAAAAAGTTAACAATGTTTTGTTGGTCCCAAATGTTTTTTTTCTTTTTTGAAATTCTACTGGTTTGTGAAAAATCTCAAGTCTAGCAACTAAGTATTTGAACTGCAATTGTCAATATTGGAAGAGTTTTAAAGATGATATGCAAAGAAAGGGTCAAATAACTTTAGGAAATGCTGCTTAGAATATCTGCTGCTTGGGTAATCACCTCATGCATTTAAGAAAGTAAAGGCTCTGAGAAATCCTGCAATTTAAAAGTGTTTTGGCCGGGTACGGTGGCTCAAGCCTGTGATCCCAGCACTTTGGGAGGCTGAGGCGAGAGGACTGTCTGAATCTGTGGGTTCGAGACCAGCCTGGGCAACATGGTGAGACCTTGTCTCTACAATAAATAAAAAAACTAGCCAGGCATGGTAGAGCGTGCCTGTAGTAGCTACTTGTGAGGTTGAGGCAGAAGGATTGCAGAAGCCCAGCAGGTTGGCCGTGAGCATGCCACTGTACTCCAGCCTGGGCAACAGAGTGAGACTCCCCACCTCAAAAAAGTTTAATATTGTTTAACCCAGTGTTTCAAACTTATTTGAGAATAGTCTATATATTTTTAACAACTGATAACTCTGGAGAAAGCTACGCTAGACTGGAAGCCTTCTTAAGGACAGTAGGATCTCATTCAGTTTTTAAAAAGACTTTGTTTTGACCAGTTTAGAGTTACAGAAAAATTGAGATGAGAGTAGAGAGTTCTCATACACCCCACCCCCACTTTCCTTATTATTAACGTCTTAATACTAGCATGGTACGTTTGTTGAACTAGTATTGACACATTATTCACTAAAGTTTATCCTTAGTTAAGATTTCCTTAGTTTTTGTCAAACATCATTCTTTTGTTCCTAGATCTCATCCAGGATAGCAATTAGTGTACCTATAGTTGTCACATCTCCTTGGGCTCCTCTTGGCCATGGCCATTTCTCTCGTTTTGATGACCTCACAGTTTGGAAGATGACTGCTCAGGTATTTTTTTAGGATGTGCCACTATTAGTAATGGAATTTGTCTGATGTTTTTCCAATGATAAGACTGGGTTTGTGGGTCATTGGGAGGAAGACCACAGAGGTCAAGTGCCATTTTGGTTGCATCATATCATATGCTATTGACATGATTTCTGACTATTCACATAGACCTTGGTCACCAGGCTGAGGTAGTATGTGTCAGGTCTCTCTGCTTCAGAATTTATCTGTCTCTACCCCCCCCCACCAGCAACTCCCCTACTGTAGTTTTTGGAAGGAAGTCACTATGTGCAGCCTGTGTCTAAAGAGTAGGGTGTTATGCTCTCCATTTTTGAACAGTCTTATGGAGATTCACATATAAAATTCAGTTTTAAATGCACAATTTAGTGGTTTTAGTATACTCACAATGTTGTGCAAATATCACCCCCATCTAGTTCCAGAGCATCCCTTCATCCCAAAAGTACATTCTGTACCCATGAACCAGTCAGTCACCATTTCCTCTCTGTCTAGTTCTGGTCACCTACAAGTCTTTCTGTCTCTGTGGATTTGCCTATTCTGGACATTTCATATGAATGGAATCATACAAGATGTGGTCTTTTTTGTCCAGCTTCTTTCTCTTAGCATGATATTTTCAAGGTCCACCCACAAGGTAGCAGGCATCAGTACTTCGTGCTTTTTTTTTCTGGTCAGGCAATATTCCATTGCATGAATACACCACATTTTGTTTATGCATTCATCAGCTGATGGACATTTGGAATGGTTCCACATTTTTTGGCTATTATGAATCATGCTATGATGAACATTCATGTATAAGTGTTCGTATAAACAAGCTTTCAATTCTCTTAGGTTTATATCTACAGATAGAATTGCTGGCTCATATGATAACTTAGTGATTAACATTATGAGGAACTGCCAGACTATTTTTCAAAGTAGCCAATTCATTTTACAATTCTACCAGCAATGTATAAAGCCTCTGATTTCTCCATATTCTTATCAAAACTTGTTATTTTCCATGTTTTGATTCTAATCATTCCAGTGGATGTGAAGTAGTATCTCATTATGGTTTTGATCTGTATTTTCCTAATGACTAATGATGTTGAACATCTTTTAATGCGTTTGTTGGCCATTTGAATATTTTGATTTTCTTGAGAAGTGTCTATTCAAGTCCTTTACCCATTTTAATTAGGTTATTTATCTTTTCATTGTTGTGTTGTAAGAGTTCTTTATTTTGGATAAAAGTCCCTTATCACACATATGACTTGAAAATATCTTCTTCCATTCTTTGGGTTCTTTTTACTTTCTTGATGGTGTCATTTGAGTACAAAAGTTTTCAATTTTGATGAAGTCCAATTTTTTTATTTTTTTCTGTTGTCATTTATGCTTTTGATGTCATATCTAAGAAACCATTCCCAAACTCAAGACTACAAATATTTACTCCTATGTTTTCTTCTAAGAGTTTTACAGTATTAATTCTTGCTTTTAAGTCTATGATACATTTTGAGCTTATATTTTGTATGTGGTGTGAGGCAAAGGTTCAACTTCAATCTTTTGCATATGGTTATCCAGTTGTTCTAGCATCGTATGTTGAAAATACTGTTCTTTCCTTATTCAGTTGAATTGTCTTGGCACCTTTGTCAAAATCAATTGACCATTAATGTAAAGGCTTACTTTTGTACTCTCAATTCTATTCCATTGAACTACATATCAATCTTTATGGAAATACAACCTTGTTTTGATTACTGTAGCTTTTTTAGTAGGTTTAGAAATCAGGAAGTGTGAGTTCTTCAATATTTCTCTTGTTTTCAAAATTGTTTTGGTAATTCTTAATTCCTTGAATTTTCCATATTCATTTTAAGATTACTTTGTCAACTTTTGCAAAATGGTAGATGGAATTTTTGACACAGATTGCAATGAATCTATAGATCAATTTGGAGAGCATTGCTACCTTAACAATACCAAGTATTCTGATTCATGATTATAATATTTCTTTCCATTTATTTAAGTTTTAAAAATTTCATTCAATAATGCTTTGTAGTTTTCAATGTAAAAAATTTTGGACTTCTGTTAAATTTATTCATAAGTACTATATTCTTTTACATGCTATTGCAAACGGAACCATTCTCCCTATTTCATTTTGGGGTTGTTCATTTCAAGTGTGTAGAAATATAATATACTTTTGTTTATTGATCTTGCATCTTGCTACCTTGCTGAACTTGCTAGTTCTATTTCTTTTATTCCTTCCTATGTGCAAAATCACGTCATCCGTGAGGAGTTTTACTTCCTTTCTAATCTGGATTACTTTTATTTCGTTTTCTTTCTCAATTGCTCTGGTTAGAACCTATGATGGCAAAAGTAAAGACTTTGTCTTGTTCCTGATCAAAGGGGGAAAGTGTTCAGTCTTTCACCATTGAGTATGGTGCTATTTGTGGGTTTTTCATAGATGTCTCTTATCATGTTAAGCAAGTTTCCCTCTTTTCCTAGTTTCTTGAGTGTTTTCATTGTGAAAGAATGTTGAATTTTGTCATGTTTTTCTGTGTCAATTGATTGTGTGGGTTTTGTTCTTTATTTTATTAATGTGGTAAATTATATAGATTGATTTTTTTATGTCAAACCACCCTTGCATTCCTGGGATAAATCCCACTAGTCATGGTGTATAATACTTTTTAAGTCTTGTTGGTTTAAGTTTGTTGTGACATTTTGTTGAGAATTTTTGCATTTATATTCATGAAGGATATTGGTCTTTAGTTTTCTTGCAATGTCTTTGTCTAGTATTGGTATCAGGGAGCCAATGAGGTACTCACTCCTCATATAAGGACTGGTCTCAGAATAAGTTGGGAAGCATTGTTTTCTTTTCTGCTTTTAAAAAGAGTTTGTGAAGAATTGCTATTAATTTTTCTTTAAATGTTGGGTTGAAGCTATCTGGCTGGATTTATATTTTTTTGTTCCCATTCATGTTCATACAGTCAGGGGCCAATAAAGCCCTGGCTGGGTGCTGAGTGTTGGGCACCATGGAACACAAGGACTTTTTATTTCACTCGTCTCTTGATGTGTACACTAGATAAGTCTTGTGAGCACCTGTCCTGACCCTTTCCATGGAGTCACAAAGTGAGGCTAATCCCCTATCTGCAGTGGGAGGAAAACTGCACCCCTCGCCCTGGGGCAGGGAAGACACACTCACCATCATCCAGAATGACCAGTAGTGGAGCCAGAAGGTCACACATGCCCTGGACATAGCCGATTTCAATGTGCTGCCAGATATAGCTAGGAGAGACATAAGGGGCCTGATGATGGTACCCCAAGACCTGCCTTTCCAACCTATACCTCCTTCCCCACCTCTCTGGTTCGGTCCCCCATCCTTCACCTGTTCCACCTCCTCAGCCTCCTGCCAGCATCCCCATCCCCAGTCTCACCCTCTTTGAGCATCCTATGTGCAGCCACCAGGATGACCTTCCTAAAGTCCTGCTCAGGGAGGCCTCCACATGCTCAAAAACCTTCATGAGTTCTCCACTATTTGATGGGATGATGTGCAAACTCCTTTAGTGGCAGTACAAGGTAAGTATAGTCTCTCCTCAACTCATCTTCACAGCCTCACATATCACTTCCTAGTACTTCTTCATCTCCAGCCACACTGAGGTATTCATTTCCCACAAATCACACATTTATGTCTCTGTACCTTTGCCTTACATTTCCCTCTCTCTTGAATTCTGATTGCCCCTTACTGATAACCACTTATATTTACTGAGCATTTACTGTATATTCAGCACACTATACATGTATTGTACTATGTAATTTTCAGAATAATAATAAGAAATAGGTACCAAAGTTATCCCATTTTACAGATGAGGAGACTAGGGTATAGAGAGGTAAATGACATACCCAAAGTCACATACCTAATAATAAGTGGTAGAGGCAGTATTTGAACCCAGAAAGCCTTTCTTGAGGATTTGTTATCCTAACCTCCATGCTAAATGGCTTACTTAGTTTTCTTCATTTTGTTAAAATCTATCTTGGAGGTCACTATCACTATGAGACCCTCCATGATATCTCCTTATGCCATAACCAGGCAAAAGTCAGTATATCCTTCCTTCTCCCTCAGCACTTTTTTCATTTTAATATAACATTTATCATACTATATTATAATTAAAAACATTTTAAAACTATGCATATTCATACTGTATTATACATCATATTGTACAATGTATAATCAGTTAGATATTACCAAATTGTTAGTAGTCATTACTTCTGGGTAAGTGGCACTGATGGGCAGAGATGAAAGAAGTCTACTTTTATGTTTTATGACATTCTAGTCTCCTTGTTTGATTCAGATTTTCAATAAGTTTAGGCTACTTTTATAATTTAAGAAATGTCAACTATTATTTTTAATGAACAGTAATAAGTAGCCTTAGATCTTGGCTTAAAGAAAAAAAAAATGACAGATTCTAGAGCCAGAGAGATGTGGTTATGAGTTTCTGCTCAGCTCTGTCCCGATAGGGACTCTGAGCAGTGTGGCCCCGCTCCGAGCCTCCAGATCCTCAACTGTAAAAGGGGATAATATCTCACAGGGTTGTTTTGGGACTAAGTAAGCTGATGATAGCGAAGGGTTCAGGAAAGTGTCTGATATACAGTACGTGCCTAATCAGTGTTCATATTATTTTTGTTGTTGTGTCTTAACTGCCAATGTGGGCAGAATTAAGACCCCAGGTGGGTAGGGTGACAGTTTCGTAGGCTGAAATGAGCTCCAGCTGGGTCTCCTAGAACCCCTGCTCACCAGGCCCCGCCATCTTCCTCCCTCAGTCCCCTCCCCGCCACCTGCAGCCACCTGCACATGATGTTGCGCAGTTTCTCCAAGTTGGCAGGTGTGAAGTACCAGTAGTTGCGGTCGCACCGCTGCACGTCTTTCTCGATGCGGTGCAAGTTCACTGTGTACAGGTCCAGAAGCTCGGGCTGTAGGACCCCAGGAAGGGAAAAAATGAAAAGTTACACCCAACTCCTCACTGAGAGACAGAGATGCTCTCTCTCCTCCTCCTCATCCTCTCCTGTTATCACTGAAAAACAAATACAAGTCAGGCATGGTGGCTCAAGCCTGTCATCCTAGCCCTTTGGTGAGGGGATTGCCTGAGCCCACGGGTTTGAGAATAGCCTAGGCAACTTGGCGAGACCTCTTCTCTACAATAAATAAAAAATTAGCCAGGTGTGGTAGCACACACCTGTAGTTCCGGCTACTTGGAAGACTGAGGAGGAAGGATCGCTGGAGCCCAGCAGGTCGAGGCTGCGGTGGCTGGGAGTGTGCCACTGCACTGCAGCCTGAGCAACAGAGTGAGACTCCAAATAAAAAAATTTTTAAAAAAGTAAAAAATAAAGAAAAAGAAATACATATATAAATTTCCCACCTGGCCCAATCAGGTGTTTGATTTTGTTTGTTTGTTTCCTGGGAAGGTGTATGTTAATTTATAGGAAGAAAATTCTCTCTCAGAAAGTTATACTCTCTCGCCGAAAACTGGACAAGAAGAATGCAAGATTTAACTGAAGTCTGATTCTGTTAAATTTACTGGACTCAATGCCCTAACCAATAAACCTAGTACCCCATTTTGAAGCGGTTCAATGATATGGCAAGAAAATAGGAAACATTTAAGAACTCAAAACCAACCCAGAAAGGTGAGAAAGTACCAAAGCTGGCTTTTTCTTGAGAGAAGCTGCTAAACTGAGAAAACTTAGGCTTAGATTTGATTGTTTTGTGCTTTTCCCCCCTCCAAGGCAAGGAGTCCAATAAAGGACCTTCCTGCAGAAAGGTAGGAGCTCAGAGTCACACCTTCAGAAAGGGAAAACTAGAAAAAAACACTGACATCCTGGGGTCTCAAAACAATTGCCTGTCTGCAACGATGACAATATTTTTTTCTCAATGGCAGTTCACCGAGTGAATGTTTATGCTTTGAGTTTGAGAGAAAACAACAAAAACGAAGAATTGCCTGATTGCCCCTTGAGCATAGATATCAAATTAAGTATGATATCTCCCTGAATAATCAAAAGCCATATATCAGGTTCACAACTCATGAAGGTTTATCACCCAAATTACCACTACCTTTGTGGTCTGAAAGATCATAGAATTTAGTTTACAGTCATCTCATATTTATTACTTTCCTCTTACTAGGAAGAAGCAAAAGAAAATCTTCTCTTGAGGAATCTACCTTACACTTAGGTCTCAAATAGTGCAACAGATAAAATTCCAAGAAATATGAACTCATGTATAAAATCACAAAACCAGAGAAAGAGAGAACCATAAGTGATAGCATAAATACAGGATAGCAGAATCAGAACTGTAAGGGCCTCAGCTATTAGAAGTAAAAAGAACAGAATATAAAATAAGTATGCTTACTGTATTTAAATAAGTAAAAGAAAAGGTTAAAAATAAGAGCAAGAGACTATAAAATAATCAAGCAAATGATTTTATAGCATATTTAAAGAAAAGCTAAATAAAGCTTTAACAAAACATATTAGACACTCATTAGAGATAGGTGGCAGAGAACCAGACACCCTTGAAGGAAGAATTAGTGTACTGAAAAGAGATCTGAAAAAACTATCCAGAATTCAGCACAGAAGGACAAAGAAATGATAAAGCAAAAGAGAAGAAAGGAGGACACAGGAGGACAGTGTGAGACAGTCTAACAAACATTTAATCAGAGCTACAGATGAAGAGAGCAAATGGGGAAGTAGAAATAGCTGAATAACAAAAATAATAGACGAAAGTTTTCCAGTGCTGAATAAAAACACCAATTTGCAGATGGATAAAAGCCCAACTAACCACTAGCCTGGAAATATAAAAAGAAATGTATACTTAGAAACATAATGGCACAAAATACCAAAAAGAGACTCTTAAAAGTAAACAAAAGAAAGTATTATTTTTAAAGGAATGGTGATTAGATCTTTAAAGATCTTTAAAGGAATGGCAATTAGACACCAACTTCTCAACATCAACAATGGAGTTTGGAAGACTATGGAACAATATTTTCAAAGTATTGAAAGGAAAAAAACCCCTGCAACTGAATTGCATATTCACGGATTCGAGAACAGCCTGGGCAACTTGGTGAGACCTCATCTCTACAATAAATCAAAAAATTAGCTGGGTGTGGTAGCACACGCCTGTAGTTCTGGCTACTTGGAAGGCTAAGGTGGAAGGATCGCCTGAGCCCAACAGGTGGACGCCGGGGTGGTCGTGAGCATGGTACTGGCTACTGCACTCCAGCCTGGGTGACAGAGTGAGACTCCAACTAAAAAAAATTAATAATAGTAATAATGTAAACATTTAACAAAGAAATTATATAACTCTATTGGAGGGATGGGGTGGAAGAGTGCCACATGCATGGTGAGGGCTGGGGTCAGGGAGGAGATGGGAGCAAAATTCTCCTCTTCCATTGTGGGGAGTGAATAGATCATGTCTTAAGACTGAAAAAAAAAATAGTCAAGAGGCAGTAATACAAGTATGTTAGAGATGTGGGGGTAAACACCAAGTAATTTGGTCAGAGTGAGAAAAAATGATTGCCTCTGGGGAAGGCTAATGAGAAGAGATAGTATAGACATCTTCTGGGGTTTTTTTATCCAGCCTTGTCTAAGTGTTTGATTCTTTAAACTATGAGCTTGTATATCTGTGATAGATATGCCTGGGAAACTTGGCGAGACCTCATCTCTACAATAAATCAAAAAATTAGCTGGGTGTGGTAGCGTGCGCCTGTAGTTCAGCTACTTGGAAGGCTGAGGCGGAAGGATCACCAGAGCCCAGCAGGTCGAGGCTGCAGTGGTCGGGATTGTGTCACTGCACTCCAGTCTGGGTGACAGAGTGAGACCTCAACTCAAAACAAACATACACACACAAAAAAGAAATAACAAATTAATGGCTGGGCATAGTGGTTCATACCTGTAATCCCAGCATTTAAGGAGGTTGAGGCAAGAGAATTGCTTGAACCCAGAAGTTCAAGACCAGCCTAGGCAACATAGCAAGACCTCGTCACTCCAAAAAATAAAATTAGCCAGGCGTGGCGGTGTGCACTTGCAGTCCCAGCTACCTGGGAGGCTGAGGTGGAAGGGTCACCTGAGCCCAGGAAGTCGAGGCTGTGGGTCACTGAACTCCAGACTGGGCAAGACCCCAACCCAAAAAAAAGGGAAGGAAAGAAGCAAGGAAGAATTTAAAAGAAAACAGATATATAGTGCCTGGTTCCGAAAATTCTTCCTTTCAGTTGATATCCTTTGGCTTGGACATTCTGGCAAGAAAGCAAAATTGAATACTTAAAAGATGATGAACCTGACTCTAAATCACGATGGGTATCATCAAGGCTGCTGATTGCTTACTATGTGCCAGGTGTGGAGGACTTTAACTTGCTAATTCTGAGAACAACTCAGGAAGTTATTAGACCATAGGGATACTGAGGCTCAGATGGATAAAACGACTTGCCAAAGCTGAGATTTGAACCCAGGACCTTTAACTGCAAAGCCTGTCTTCTTTAAATAGTATATAATCTTCTCTCCCACATACGCTTCTACAGTGAATCCTCCATGGTGGGGATAATGCAACAGACCAGAGGTTTCTCTCCTGGGTACCAGGCTTGTGGTACATCCCTTTCCTCTAGCAGCTGGAGTTAAGGAAATCGAGGGGAGAGTCCTGGTGACTTACAGAGTAGGTGACACCGCTGGAGGAGACAGGGGACACCTCGTTGTTGGCAGAAGTCATTACAGCCAGAGAAGCCAGGGCGGGGAAGAGACTTTCCATCTCAGGTTCCTCTGAGAGGTTGTCCTCACTGTCCACCTGGCCACATTTCTCCGCCTCGCTGCCCCGCCAGCCCTCCTTTGTGATGGCATCCTTTTCAGGCAGGGTTACATCCATGCTGCCAGTGGTGGACATGAACTCATCCAGGCTCTCGTTGGCAAGGAGGTCACTCTCCAGGCTGTCCTGCACAGCCAGCTCCTCACGGGGGGCCTCATCCTGAGAAGTGGTGGCCTGACTGCTCTGCCTGTCATCTAGGCTGCCGTCATCAGGCTGCAGCACTTGGGGGGCGTTCCGTTGGGCATCCAAGACACTGTCTTCTGTGCTCAGACTGGGCTCTGAGTGCTCTGAGAGACCCGAGGAGAAGTTATGGGAGGAAGGATGGCCAGAGTCTGGGGAACAAGTGCCGTTCACCAGGTTCCCATTGGGGATCTTGGGCTGTTTCTCCTCCAACCTGCCTTCAGCTTCCACCTGCTCCACCTCATCCACAGACTCAAACACCTGAGGACAAGGTGCACAAAGACTGATGGACTAGGATGTCCACTGTAGCACTGCTTACAGCAGCAGCCAATAACAGGGGGTAGGTTAAAATATGGAACATGCATGCAGTAGAATACTATACAGGCAGTGAAACAGGTGAGGCAAGACAAGTTGTAATACATGCTTCCATTTGTGGTGAACAAAAAGGTGATCTATGTGCTTGTGTATGCATAGAGTAATCCAGAAAGAAACAAGAAACCACTGTAGCGGATACAAGGGAATTGAAATGGGGGGAAAGAATAACTTTTCGTCATATAGTTATTTACCATGTGCACATATTTTTTTTCAAGTAAAAAATTAGTTAACATAAGGAACAGGCTAAAAAAAGCCCATTACATTCATGTGGTTGATTACTATGATTCAATTTTTAAAACAGTAAGATATGTATGAAATACTATGAAAAAAATCTTCAGAACACAGTTCAAAGATTTATTTGGGTCCTCAGGTCATATCACATCAAGGGTGAACAGTAAGAGAGCATGTTCCAAAGTCACTTGAAATATTTCTTCTCTGTGTGGTATGTCACCTACTTGATATATGGATAATTTCATATATTTCTGTGTTTTTAAAAAGTTCTTTTTGATTCAGTTGATTTAAATTATATAAATAATTTTTCTAACTTAAGAGCTAAAACTAAAGTTGTTTTTTTTTTTTCTCTAAAGATAAAATGAAAAAATAAGACACTCAGGGAAATGTAGCTTCTTTCTTTGCCCCCTCTCCCCTCAGTAGTCATTTTGATTCACTTCTGGTTTATGTTTCTACTTTAAAAAATAAATGCAAATATATACACATATTGATATTTCCTCTTTTTATATAAAAGGTGTCCTACTATGCACTTTTTTGCATGTTGCTTTTTTCTTTAATACAGGTGAGATTGAGTGATCGCTTTCCATTTAATGGAATAAAAAGTTGTTGAACAGTGCCTACGGTGACATTTAGTAAGAGGTTTTAAAAGACTATTTATTATCTACATATGTCTATATATACAAAGGCATACAGAAAGTTCTGAAAGAATGCAGAGCAAACTGATGACAGTGGTATTATTTCAAAGAAAGGTAGGCAGGGATAAAGGATGATAAAGTCGACTTTGACTTTCTCTGCAATATTTTAGTTTTTTACAGGGAGAATAGATTCGTATATACTTGTGTTACTAAAAAAAAAAATCTGGCCAGGCTCGGTGGCTCAGCCTGTAATCCCGCGCCTTT